GATGCCGCGACCAACCCAGAGGGCACGGGGGCCAAGGGCGACACTGAGGGGGCGGACGCCGCACAGGGCCAGGGCGCTGCTGCGAGCGAGGGCGGCGCTGAGAGCGAGACCGCGGCTGAGGGCAGCGGGGCCAAGGATGGCACTGATGACAAGGACAAGGCGGAGGGCGAGGAGGAGGGGGAGGAGGCGGAGGAGGGGGAGGAGGAGGAGGAGGATGAGGAGGAGGAGGAGGAGGAGGAGGACGGGCGGGAGGAGGAGGAGCAGGAGGAGGAGGAGGAGGAGGTGGAGGAGGAGGAGGAGGAGGACGAGGAGGAGGAGGAGGGAGGAGGAGGACGAGGGGGCGGAGGAGGAGGAGGAGGACGACGACGACGACCGTGCATGACGAGGCAGACGACGACAACGAGCGAGGACGAGGACGACGATGACGAGTATTATCATTTTGATTCCTCGCCATCCCTGTCCGCTCGGCAGGAGAATGATTCCCACTATTGTTCGTCGGGCTGGACAACGGCGGGCGGTTATGTCTCCTGGAAAAGAACCTCGCGCGGGCTACCCTGCACGGAAGGGATTTCCCGAGCCTGTTCGTGCAATGCGTGTAGTGCAACATTGTACCTGCCCCCTCGAGCTCCTTGTCTACCCCGTCGCTCTGCCGCGCCCTGTCTCGGTATTCCTCTCGCTCCCTCGCCCTCCTTGCGCGCGCGGCCAGGACATGAGTCCCGCTATTGTTCGCCGTGCTGGATGTTGGTGGGCGGTTATGTCTCCTGGAAATGAACCTCGCGTGGGCTACCCTACACGGAAGAGACTTCCCGAGCCTGTTCGTGCAATGCGTGTAGTACAACATTGTACATGTCCCCTCGAGCTCCATGTCTACCCCGTCGCTCTGCCGCGCTCTGTCTCGGTGCCCCTCTCGCTCCCTCGCCCTCCTTGCGCGCGCGGCCAGGAAATGATTCCCTATATTGTTCGCCGTGCTGGACGTTGGAGGGTGGTTATGTCTCCTGGAAATGAACCTCGCGTGGGCCGCCCTACACGGTAGAGATGTCCCGAGCCTGTTCGTGCAATGCGTGTAGTCCAACATCGTACATGTCCCCTCGAGCTCCCCTGTCTAGGTGCCCCGCCACCGTGCCTCGCTCTCTCTCGGCCTTCCTCTCGCTCCCTCGCATTCCTGTCCGCGCGGCCAGAAAATGGCTCCCACTATTGTTCGCCGTGCTGGATGTTGGTGGGTGGTTATGTCTCATGGAGATGAACCTCGCGTGGGCTGCCCTACACGGTAGAGATGTCCCGAGCCTGTTCGCACAATGCGTGTAGTACAACATCGTACTTGTCCCCTCGAGCTCCCATGTCTAGGTACCCCGTCACCGTGCCTCGCTCTATAGCTGTCTTCCTCTCGCCCCCTCGCCTTCCTGTCCGCGCGGCCAGAAAATGATCCCCACTATTGTTCGTCGTGCTGGATATTGGTTGGCGGTTATATCGCCTGGACAAGAACCTCGAGCGGGCCACCCTGCACGGAGAAGCTTTTTCCGAGCTGGTTCGTACAATGCACGTAGTACAAGATCGGACGTGTCCCCACGAGCTCTCTGTCTACCCCGTCCTCTGCATCGCTCTGCCTCGGCCTTGATGTTGACGCCTCGCCCTCCCTGTCCGCGCGGCAAGAGAATGATTACCACTATTGTTCGTCGGGCTGGATCATGGAGGGCGGTTCTGTCTCCTGGAAAAGAACCTCGCGTGGCCCTGCGCGTAAAAGCTTTCCCGAGCCTGTTCGTGCGACGCACGTAATACAAGACCCTACATATCCACCCGAACTCACCCTCTACCCTGACACTCTGCCTTGCTCTGTCTCGGTACTCCGCTCGTCGTGCAAGACATGATACCCACTATTGTTCGTCGTGCAAGATATGGGTGGGCGGTTGCGTCTCCTGGGAAATACCCTCTCTGCGCGCGCGGCGACGCATTCAATCGCGCGCCGACGGCGGCTGCGTCGACGCATTCAATCGCTTCGGCGGAGGCGCACCCAACCGCGAAACCCAAGGCCGACGCGCTGCCTGGCACCTCCTGGCAGCGTCCACGCGCGTTCGCCGCGCCATGCAAGCGGCGCCGCGACGACGCGCGCATCTCCTCGCGGATTATGCCTGCCGTTCGAAGTTCGCGCCGATGGCGGCTGCGTCGACGCCCCTGCCGTTCGAAGTTCGCGCGGATGGCGGCTGCGTCGACGCATGCAATCGCTTCGGCGATGGCGGCTGCGTCGACGCGTGCAATTGCTTCGGCGAAGCCCAACGGCGAAACCTAAAGCCGACGTTCTACGCGGTTGCCATGCGCAACGGAATGCGGCAACGCGCCGCGCCATGCAGGCGTCGCCGCGACGGCGCGCGCCTCGTGACGAGGAGGTGACAGACCCACCCCTTGCGCTTTCCTTCTGCCGTTCGAAGTTCGCGCCGATGGCGGCTGCGTCGACGCATGCAATCGCTTCGGCGGGGGCGAACCCAACGGCGAAACCCAACGCCGACATTCTATGCGCTGCAATGCGCAACGGAATGCGGCAACGCCTAGCGATTCGCGCGCGCGCGCGTGCTCAACCGCATGCGCGTTGTCGATGCCACCGCGGCTTGCTCGCGACAGCTGTTTCGCTTTGCGCCGTGCAATACGAAAGCCCCCCATTGATAGGGGAGTTGGGGGGTGGACACCGTAACCCTAAAAGGCATTACTTTGGGTGGTCTGGGACGGGAATGCAAAGTTCGGAGCGCGCGCGGCCTGGGCAGCGATCCCCCATCCCCTCCCTCCAAAAAAAATCTTGATGAAGGGGGATCGCAGCCAGCGCGCGCTTTCTCCTATGCAGGCCCTAAACCCTAAACCCTAAACTTCAGGCGCGGACCTGCAGGTCGCGCATCGCCACGCCTGTAAGGGTCTGCCAGTGAGAGTGAGCTGCCAGTCGAGCTCACCGCCACACAGGCCAGGCGGCTTAAGCATTGCGCTCTTTCCAACGAGACAAATAACCCCAAACCCTGGGATTTTTCTTCAGACAAGCACCCTCCCTCCCTGGAGAGGAGCCCCAGGGAGCTCCTGGGAGTGGCTGACCCTGGAGAGGAGCCCCAGGGAGCTCCTGGGGGTGGCTGACCCTGGGGAGGAACCCCAGGGAGCTCCTGGGGGTGGTTGACTCTGGAGAGGGGCCCGAGGCAGCTCCTGGGGGTGGCTGACTCTGGGGAGGAGCCCCAGGGAGCTCCTGGGGGTTGCTGACCCCGGAGACCCGGGGAGCTCCTGGGGGTGGCTGACCCTGGAGAGGAACCCGGGTCCTGGGAAGCGCGCTCGCTTACCCCAGACTAAAATTTGATTGGAAATTGCTCCCGCCAGCTTTAAATTTAATTGGAAACGAACCCCAGGGAGCTCCAGGGAAGCGCGCTCGCTCACCCCAAACTTAAATTTGTCAGGAAATTGCTCCCGCAAGCTTAAATTTAATTGGAAACGAGCTTCAGGGTGCTCCTGGAGACCGCGCTCGCGCTCCCCAAACTTAAATTTGATTGGTTGGAAACTGCTCCCGCTAGTTTAAATTTGATTGGAAATTGCTCCGGAGGCGCCTTCGCTCACCCCAAGCTTAAATTGAATTGGAAACTGCTCCCGCAATCTTGAATTTAATTGGGAACTGCTCCGGAGTAGCGCTCGCCCCATGCGCTATACTTTAATGTCCCGCCCGCCCGACCCGCCTGCGCCTTAGGGCACCGCCCGCCCGACCCGACCTGCCCCCTATGGTGCGCGCGTGCTCCCTGGATCCTGCGCCCGGGGTTTCGGTTAAATTGGTTCCGTGCGTTTCCGTGCGGGTCCGCGCGCGTGGGTTCCCGTGGGTTCCGTTGGTCCCGTGCGGGGCCAATTTCCGTTGGTTCCGTGGGTTTCCGTGGTTCCGTGGGTTCCGTGCGGCGTCGGTTTCCGTGGGTTCCGTAAGTTTCCGTGGGTTCCGTGGGTTCCGTGCGGCGTCGGTTTCTGTTGGTTATGTGGGTCCCGTGTGGTTTCTGCGCGGGTCCGCGTCCGTGGGTTTCCATTGGTTCCGTGGGTTCCGTGCGGCCAATTTCCGTGGGTTCCGTGGGTTTCCGTGGGTTCCGTGCGGCGTCGGTTTCTGTGGGTTCCCTGGGATCCGTGCGGCAATGATTTCCGTTGGTTCCGTTGGTTTCCGTGGGTTCCGTGCGGCGTCGGTTTCCGTGGGTTCTGTAAGTTCCGCGCGTTCCCGTGTGGTTTCCGTGCGGTCCGCGTCCGTGGGTTTCCGTGGGTTCCGTGGGTTCCGTGCGGCGCCAATTTCCGTGGGTTCCGTAAGTTTCCGCGGGTGCCGTGCGGCGTCGATTTCCGCAGGTTCCGCTGGTTCCGTGCGCACGGGCCTGAGAGGTGCATGGAGCCGACGGGCGCACGGAGCCGAGAGCACGGAACCGACGGGTGCACGGAGCCGACGAGGCGCACGGAGCCGACGGGGCGCACGGAGCCGACGGAGCCGACGGTGCTGCTGGTCGCAGTCGTGGCGCTGCTGGTCGCAGTCGTGGGGCTGCTGGTCGCCGTCGTGGTGGTGCTGGTGGTTTTACTGGTAATGGTAGTGGTGCTGCTGGTCGTTGTGGTGCTGCTGCTGGTTGCAGTCGTGGTGGTGCTGGTCGTAGTCGTGGTGGTGCTGCTGGTCGCAGTCGTGGTGGTGCTGCTTGTGCTGGTGGTGCTGGTGGTGCTGCTGGTCGTGGTGGTGGTGCTGCTGCTGGTCGTAGTCGTGGTGGTGCTGCTGCTGGTCGCAGTCGTGGTGCTGCTGGTCGCAGTCGTGGTGCTCCTGGTCGTGGCCGTGGTGGTGCTGCGGGTCGCTCTCGTGGTGGTGGTGTTGGTGGTTCTGCTGCGGGTCGCAGTCGAAGCGATGGTGCTGCTGGTCGCCGTTGTGGTGGTGGTGGTGGTATTGCTGACCTCCTCGTGGTGCCCGCTGCCGTGTCGGGGGTGCTCCCGGCGCTCGTCGGAGCCCGCCGGGGCGGCCGTGCTGGCCGCGGCGCCAAGCATCAGGGGCGTGCTGGCAGGCGGCTAGCGGGTGGGCCGGCGGAGTCTGCGAGCAGCACTTCGGCCAGGTCTGGGTCGTCCTCCCCGGCGGCTCCCCCCAAGGCTAGGTAGCCGTCGCCCGTCAGGGTGGCCATGAGCGAGTCCTGGGCCGCGACGCTCAGGAACCCCCACCAGCGGTTGGTGTACGCGAGCTCCGCGGAGCGGCGGAGGAGGGCCGGCGCGGCCCGCGCCTTCTGCTTGGCAAGCAGGCGTACCAGCTGGAGGGAATCGCGGCCCCACCTGCCTCCGACCTCGCAGGAGAGGACCATGAGGCGGCCTGAATGGCCGGTCGTGAGTTCGTGGTACCTGCGTCGTTTGCGCCTTTCGGCCCAAGTAGCGCGGCGCCGTCGGTGTCGAAGGTGCGCGGCCGGTGCCAGCCGTCCCTGCGGAGGGGGGACACCATGGTGCTGTCGCAGCACAGCGGGACGCCGTTCGGCGAGATGCCGTAGACGACTAGGTCTAATTGTCTGCGGTCCAGCGGGTTGTGGACAACGGCGTTAGTGTCCCGCAGCAGCTGTTGGGGGACAACTCTCCCTCCTGCTTCTCTGGCGACCCTCGCCCAAGCTCGTTCGAGCGGTTTCGCGCGTCTGGCGAGAAGCCCCGTGCGTGGGCACGCGGCTAGGTGGTCTCCCAGCGTGTCCAGCCGGGCCCGGCAGCCTGGGTGGCCGGCTGCCCCGCACGCGTGCGGGAGGAGCGGCAGCGGGAGCCTGAGGCGCCGGCGCAGGGCTGCCAGGAACCGCGCGGGCTTGAACACGTGCCCCTCGGTGGTGGGTAAGGTGTGAAGCCAGTAGGCGGCCCTCGGTCCTGAGCCTGACCTTAGCATGGCCTGGTTGGCCCTGGTGAGGCTGGGCATGAACACGTTGTCCCTGTAGTGTGTGTTGCGTGCGGAACAAGCGTGGAACTGCCAGCCGTGCTGCCATTCCCCCGGTTCGGCGGCCTCCGAGCGCGGCGGCGCTTCTGGGCGCAGCCCCTGGAGCAGGTCGGTCCAGGAAGGTCTCCGGAAGCCTTCGGTTTCGAGCAGCTGTGCGGCCGCGGCGGCTGCGGCGAGGTTGCCCCTACGGCCGGGCCTGGTGCCGTCGAGGAGGTCCCTGATCGCTGCAGCTTCAACGGGGCGCCGTTGGTGGAGCATGTGTAGGGCGTCTACCCAAGCGCCCCAGTAGGCCGCTGGGGACGTGCGCGCGGCGCTTTGGAGCCCGAGTCCTCCGTGTCGTCCAGGCATTGCTGCCAGTGCGCGCGCCCGTCGCTCTTCGTCTTGCGACATTGCGGGGTCCCCGAGGAGGCGGCGCAGGGTGGCCCACATGTCGCCGTCGTGGCCTCTCGTGTATTCTGCGATTTCCTCTGGCGGCAGGGTTCGCAGCAGGTGGTTGGCCCGCGGGGAGGCGCAAAGGAGGAGGAGGAGCCAAGCGCACTGTAGGTCGGGCAGGTGCGCCAGTTCGTCCAGGAGTCTCCTCTCTTCCTGTAGTCTGCTCTCCAGGTGTGCGGCGACGAATTCTGGGGTGCCTAGGGGGGCGCCAAGGATCTTGATTCCTCGGTCGGGTGGTGCTCTGTCACCCCTCCAGACGTCTTGCCCCAGCTCGCCAATTCCGGGCGGCGCTGCGCCTCCGCCCCTGCTGTAGGCCCGGCACTTGCCAAGGTGGCAATCCACGTTTGCGTGGAGGTGAATTGCTCCGGTGGTGGTGTCGAAAGCGGCTCTGGCCCTGGCCCGGGTGGTCTTGATGTACACGTCGTCCACGAAAGCGACTAGGACGTCCCCTTGCTCTAGGGTCCTGGAGGCGCCCGCCAGCGCTCCGTGCAGGGCAAGAGCGAAGAGGGCTGGGGCCAGCGCGTCCCCCTGCTCCACTCCCTCTCCCTGGTGCACGTCGTGCACAGTCCCCACTTCGTCTTGCCAGAGGTTGGTGGAGTCTTGCCCGTGCCACATCTTCACGAAGGGGATTCAGCCGGCCAGCTCTGGGCGAGCAAGGAGCTCCTGGAAGAAGGCCGACCTCGACACATGGTCGAAGGCCCCGACTCCGTCGATGCTGACAATGACTGCGTCGTCGTCGTGGTCCAGCACTGACCTCAGCAGCATGGCAGCGCAGTCGGTTCCTGCCCGCGTCGTCAGGGCGAACTGGAAGGGCGCAATTGCGGCCGCGAACTGCTCGGCGAACTGTTGAGCGAGCGCCCTGGTGACCAGTCGGCGGAAAACGTCGCCGGTGGCGATGCCCCGTACTCCGTTGTCTGGTTTCTGGAGCGCCGTCATCTTGCAGAGGGCTAGAGCGCGGGCAATCGGGGAGGGCACCCGCGCCTCCGCGAGGGCAGCGGCGGCGAATCCAAGCAGGTCCATGGACTCTTCGTGTTCCAGCAGCGGCTTGAGGTGCTCAACGCGGACCCCCGACGGTCCGGCTGCCGTGCCCTTTTTGGCGGACCGGAGGCAAGCGAGGAATTTGGTCTTGTCGAGTCTCGCTCTGTCGGTTGCGCGGTCTAGGTTGGCGGGTAGTCGGCGGCTCAGGGTAGGCGGTCGGCGGGCCGGGTCCCGCAGCCTGTTTAGTGTCTCCCCGTTGCCGGGCGCAATCGCCGCCGCGGTCAAGACCTGTCTCCCCCATGACGGGTTGCCGTTTCGGACGTGCGCGCAAGCCTGTTCTCTGCGTCTCTCCTGCTCTTGCTCCTCTGTGGCTGGCCTCGGCGCTGCGCGCGCGCCGGCCGTGGTGTTGGCCTCGTGTAGCAGGGCCAGCCAGTCGCCCTGGCGGAATCGTTGGGCGCGTTCCAAGAGCTCTTGTCGGCCCTCGGCGTCGGTACCCTTGGGCTTGCTTAGCAGGAGCCTCGAGGCGAGGAGGAACAGTGTCCATCCTTGGTGGGTTGTTGCTTGGTTGCCCTGGTCGTGCCCTCGCTTGATCCTCTTCAGGGCCGTGGTGAACGCCATCCGGGTCTCCGCGCGCAGGAAACGTGGCACGTTCTGTAGTGTCAGCACGAATCTCCGTAGCTCTTGTTGGAGGTCGATGCTCCCGAGAGCTGCCCAGGACTCTTCGGTGGGTCCGTTGCTCTGTATTGCCTCCACCTAAAAGTCGCCATGTTGGCCTGGGAAGTAAAGTCAACCCTTCGCGGTCGCCGACAGGATTTCGGGTGACCCGCGCAGTGCGGGGGTCACCCGCCGCGCGCGGCGCACGGCGGGCGGCGGGCGGATCCCATGGATTCCTAAGGGAACCTATGGATCGTTACCGATTCCAAAGGATTCCTATGGATTCCTTGGGATTCCTAAGGATTCCTAATGCGGCGTGCGGCGGGCGGCGGGCGCGCGCGCGCGCGCGTAGTGAGTTCTGTGTTGTCCACAATATAAAGGTAGCCCTGCAATTGCAAAAACTGAATCAAACTTTTCTGTGGACCTTTAAAGGGAGCCGACGGAAGCCCCCCTCGAGCTCACTGTATACCCCGTCGCTCTGCCTCGATCTGTCTCGGTCTTCCTCTCGCTCCCTCGCCTTCCCCGTCCGCGCGACCAGAAACATGATTCCCACTGTTGTTCGTCGTGCTGGGTATTGGTTGGTGGTTATGTCCACTGGGAAAGAACCTCGCGCGGGCTACCCTGCGGGATGCGGGAAGTGAGGTTGGAGCCGAATGGCATCAGATACAGCCCTGGGATCAGCGCGTATGCGAACGTCGAGCAGTGGCAGCAGGCTCCCCCACTGCTCAGCGAGATGTGGGACGCGAAGGTGGAGCCAAGCGTCATCAGCTACAGCTCTGGGATCAGCGCGTGCGCGAAAGGCGAGCAGTGGCAGCGGGCTCTATCGCTGCTCTGCGAGATGTGGGAAGTGAGGTTGGAGCCAGATGCCATCAGCTACAACTCTGGGATCAGCCCTGGGATCAGCGCGCGTACGAACGGCGAGCAGTGGCAGCGGGCTCAATCGCTGCTCTGCGAGATTTGGGAGGCGAAAGTGGAGCCAAGCGTCATCAGCTACAGCTCTGGGATCAGCGCGTGCACGAAAGACGAGCAGTGGCAGCGGGCTCTATCGCTGCTCTGCGAGATTTGGGAAGTGAGGTTAGAGCCAGATGCCATCAGCTACAACTCCGGGATCAGCGCGTGCGCGAACGGCGAGCAGTGGCAGCAGGCTCTCCCACTGCTCAGCGAGATGCGGGAGGCGAAGGTGGAGCCAAGTGTCATCAGCTACAGTTCTGGGATCAGCGCATGCGCGAGAGGCGAGCAGTGGCAGCGGGCTCTCTCACTGCCCAGCGAGATGGGGGAGGCGAAGGTGGAGCCAGATGCCATCAGCTATAGCTCTGGGATCAGCGCGTGCGCGAAAGACGAGCAGCGGCAGCGGGCTCTATCACTGCTCAGCGGGATGCGGAAAGTGAGATCGGAGCCGAATGTCATCAGCTACAGCTCTGGGATCAGCGCGTGCACGAAAGGCGAGCAGTGGCAGCGGGCTCTATCGCTGTTCTGCGAGATGTGGGAAGTGAGGTCGGAGCCAGATGCCATCAGCTACAACTCTGGGATCAGCCCTGGGATCAGAGCGTGTGCGAACGGCGAGCAGTGGCAGCAGGCTCTTCCGCTGCTCAGCGAGGTGCGGGAGGCGAAGGTGGAGCCAAGCGTCATCAGCTACAGCTCTGGGATCAGCGCATGCACGAAAGGCGAGCAGTGGCAGCGGGCTCTATCGCTGCTCTGCGAGATGTGGGAAGTGAGGTTGGAGCCAGATGCCATCAGCTACAACTCTGGGATCAGCGCGTGCGCGAACAGCGAGCAGTGGCAGCAGGCTCTCCCACTGCTCAGCGAGATGCGGGAGCCGAAGGTGGAGCCAAGTGTCATCAGCTACAGCTCTGGGATCAGCGCATGCGCGAGAGGCGAGCAGTGGCAGCGGGCTCTCTCGCTGCCCAGCGAGATGTGGGTGGCGAAGGTGGAGCCAGATGCCATCAGCTATAGCTCTGGGATCAGCGCTTGCGCGAAAGACGAGCAGTGGCAGCGGGCTCTATCACTGCTCAGCGGGATGTGGGAAGTGAGATCGGAGCCGAATGTCATCAGCTCTGGGATCAGCGCGTGCACGAAAGGCGAGCAGTGGCAGCGGGCTCTCTCGCTGCTCTGCGAGATGTGGGAAGTGAGATCGGAGCCAGATGCCATCAGCTACAACTCTGGGATCAGCCCTGGGATCAGAGCGTGTACGAACGGCCAGCAGTGGCAGCAGGCTCTCCCGCTGCTCCGCGAGATGCGGGAGGCGAAGGTGGAGCCAGATGCCATCAGCTATAACTCTGGGATCAGCGCGTGCGCGAAAGACGAGCAGTGGCAGCGGGCCCTATCACTGCTCAGCGGGATGTGGGAAGTGAGATCGGGGCCGAATGTTATCAGCTACAGCTCTGGGATCAGCGCGCGCACGAAAGGCGAGCAGTGGCAGCGGGCTCTATCGCTGTTCTGCGAGATGTGGGAAGTGAGGTCGGAGCCAGATGCCATCAGCTACAACTCTGGGATCAGCCCTGGGATCAGAGCGTGTACGAACGGCGAGCAGTGGCAGCAGGCTCTCCCGCTGCTCAGCGGGATGCGGGAGGCGAAGGTGGAGCCAAGCGTCATCAGCTACAGCTCTGGGATCAGCGCGTGCACGAACGGCGCGCAGTGGCAGCGGGCTCTCTCGCTGCCCAGCGAGATGAGAGAGGCGAAGGTGGCGCCAAGTGTCATCAGCTACAATGCTGGGATCAGCGCGGGCGAGAAGAGGGGGCAGTGGCAACAGGCATTCGTGCTGCTCAGCGCGATGCTGGACGCGAAGCTGGGGCCCGACGTCGTGGGTTACGGCAGGCGGGCAGGGCCGGCGGGCGCTGCGGCCGCGGGCCGCCGGGCTGGGGCAGCTCTGGCGGCCTTCGCGGGCGGCCTTGCCCGGGCACGGAGCGGAGCCGGCCGGGCCAGGGCCTCGAGCGCTCCCGCGGCTTCGAGGCCGAGGCACGCAGGGCGGCTCGGCCGGGCGGGCGGCGGGCGGCGGCGGCTGGCGGCGCGAAGACCGCGCGGTGGCTGGCGGGCCCGCTGGGCCGCCTAAGGCGACCGCGGGCGTTGGCAGCCCAGCCAGGGGGCCAGCCGGAGGGAGCCAGGTGCAGCGGCCCCTTTCGCTGCGGACTCGGCCAGGGACTGGGACTGGGACTGGGAGAGGAAAAAAAAAATCCCCGAGCCTGTTCGTACAATGCGTCTAGTACAACATCGTGAACATCGTGCCTGTCCCATCGAGCTCCCCTGTCTAGCTACCCCGCCACCGCGCCTCGCTCCATCTCGGTCTTCCTCTCGCTCCCTCGTCTTCCTGTCAGCGCGGCCAGAACATGATTCCCACTATTGTTCTTCGTGCTGGATATTGATTGGCGGTTATATCGCGTGAAGAAAACCTCGCGCGGGCCACCCTACGCGGAGAAGCTTTTCCGAGCTTGTTCGTACAATGCACGTAGTACAAGATCGTACGTGTCACCACGAGCTCACTGTATACCCCGTCATTCTGCCTCGCTCTGTCTCGGTCTTCCTCTCGCTCCCTCGCCCTCCGTGTCCGCGCGGCTAGACTAAGATTCACACTATTGTTCGTCGTGCCGTATCTTGGTGGGAGGTTATGTCGAACCTCGCGTGGGCTACCCTGCGCGGAAGAGGTTTCCCGAGCCTGTTCGTACAACGCGTGTAGTACAACATTGTACTTGTCCCCCTCGAGCTCCCTATCTACCCCGTCGCTCTGCCGCGCTTTGTCTCGGCATTCCTCTCGCCCCCTCGCCCTCCTTGCGCGCGCGGCCAGGAAATGATTCCCGCTATTGTTCGCCGTGATGGATGTTGGTGGGTGGTTATGCATCCTGGACGTGAATCTCGCGTGGGCTACCCTACACGGAAGAGGTTTCCCGAGCCTGTTCGTACAATGCGTGTAGTGCAACATCGCGCCTGTCCCCTCGAGCTCCCCTGTCTAGCTACCCCGCCACCGTGCCTCGCACAATCTCGGTCTTCCTCTCGCCCCCTCCCTCGGCTTACTGTCCGCGCGGCCAGAACATGATTCCCACTATTGTTCGTCGCGTTGGATACTGGTTGGCGGTTATATCGCGTGGAAAAAACCTCGAGCGGGCTACCTATCTTATACGGAGAAGCTTGTCCGAGCTTTTTCGTCCAACGCATGTAGTACAACATCTTGGCACTTGCCCCCCTCGAGCTCCCTTTCTACTCCGTCGCTCTCTCTCCCTTTGTCTCGGTATTCATTTTGCTCTCCTCGCCCTCCGTGTCTGCGCGGCTAGAATAGGATTCCCACTATTGTGCGCCGTGCCAGATGTTGGTGGGTGGTTGTGTCTCCTGGAAAATAACCTCGCGCGGAGTACAAAATCGCATCAGTACGTTGGCGCTCCTTTTCGTCGCCGTCCACGACAGCGATAACGAAGATGATGGCGATGACGATGACGACGGAAACGACGACGATGACGATGAGGCCTGGGACGAGCTCCGCGCCTGCCTGTCCGAGACAGCGGCGAGGGCGGTCTTGAGAGTTGAAGAGCGTGGCCTCGGGGTGTGTTCCAAGTGTCGCTGGTCGCATGGCTGCCACATGTGCGACGGCGAGAAATCCTTGAGGTAGTGGCTGCGCAAGGAGGGCTGGATCGTGCGCACTTGGTGAGTGCCCAGCTAGTCTTTGCGAGTTATGAGACTGGTGGAGAAACGAATAACGAAACAATATTGAGGTCGAGTGCCAAGGTTGGGGGTCAGCGGGCGCCGTGCTTGGATTGTGGCTGTCTCCTGAGGTGGGCTGCTTGGGTTGGGGGTCGCAGGACACCGTGCCTGGATCGTGGGTCGTGTCTGAGGTCGAATGCCTCGGTTCTGGGTCGCAGGAAGCCGTGCCTGTATCGTGAATCGTGTGTAAGGTTGGGTGCCTGGGTTGCCGGTCGCAGGAAACCGTGCCTGGGTCGTGGGTCGCGTCTGAGGTCGAGCGCCTGGGTCGCAGGAAGCCG